TACGCTTTTTGGGCCAAAAGCGTAGCGTAGCGTAGCGGCCCACCGCTGCCAGCGGATAGCGGATATCCGCCAGCGGATAGCGGATATCCGCAACGGATTATCCCCGCCCATCTCTAAAATCCAGACTTCTTGATGGTTGAAAAAACTATCATGGAGGAGAGCATACACAAGGATCAATAATTTTATGCTGCCAGTGATTGAGGAGGGCAGATCCCCTTATTGGTAGCAATGGTGGACCAGTCATGTTAATTAGGGGGTATCAAATATAACCAAATCCACCATTAATTAATTGACTGGTTTGAAAAAATCCACCCTTTTTTAAACATGTTGGTTATCCATTTAACCCCTTTTGGGGCCCATTTATACAAAAAAAGTTTTTGGAAAAGTGACTGGTTTCTGATGGTGGATTTCCTATATTTGATACCCCCTATTATGAATGTGGTTTTCACATAATAACACCAAAACTAAGTACAGCTTATTCTATTACACTTCAGACTCAATGGTTTGGTGATAAAAATAAGGGGCTTGATTAATGACTTCCCAGGATATGAGTCCTGACTTCCATTCTTTTAACTGGATCTTGAGGCACCAACCCCTGTTAGTTTCCAGGACCAAAAATTGGGTCCTGACAATTTTGGGGTTTGTTACCCAAAACCCCAGTGGAGGTTTGGGAGTCAGACCCCACCAGGGATTTTGTTTTGGTATGGGGAGGGTTGGTCAGGTCTGAAAGAAGACTCCTCCAGTAATGTTGTGAAGTTACTTCCATTAAGATATCTGGGGCAACCACGCAATGCAACTTTGTATTAAAATATCATTACAGAACAAATTTGATATTCAAGAGTGTTGGTGGTGTAAAAAGGCTTTTTTACCCTCAAAACTGCACAAGTTAACTAGTACAGATAACATCAATGTATATTTCTGCATTATTTGAACTTAAAACACAGAAATAGACAGAAAAGTCCCTCACTATCTGCACATTGTCTGACCAGAACTTTGACAGATAATGTCAGACTGGAAAAATATAAAAAAATAGGAAGAGATAGTGTAACAATCTCTTGTTGCAGATAACAGCTGTGATGATGCCTTGAAACAATTACTTTACCATCACCCAGAAATATCTATGCTCACTAGATGTCAGGTGCCATCATGCAACATTGATTGCTGCTCCCATGTATCTTGAGCTCTGTTTTTAACCCACTACAATGGTCACTTTGTGTGCTACAGGGGGCTGAGGCAGAGTTCAGCTGGATATGTAATGGATATTACACTGGAGTTAGCTTGATGTCACTGGTCATCAAGTGTTTTTTCCTGGTGCATGAGGTTACCTTTATTCATCAAATAGCTTGCCATCATTGTTCCCAGCTGTGATCTACAGTCTCCTTGGCCAAGAGAGATTCTTCTTGGCCATACATCATGGCCAGCCAGGAGTCTTCTCCCGGCCATGACCAACTCCCTGCCCCCCCCCTCAAAAAAAAAGAATTAACAAATAAACCTGGTTATGTTCTGACTCGAAAACCTTTGCCAGGTTTTGGGGGAACAACTCCCAAAACTGCCAGGACCCAATTTAGAGTACTGGCAAATGGCCAGGGATGGCACATTGGGGTCTAATGTCTGGTTGGCATCTCCCAAGAATGGGATCCAGAGCTCCAATTGATAACCTAACAGATGCAATCTCTATTCTGTGACACAGTGCTGGATAGCGGCCTTTTTCAGTTGGATTCCTCCCTTGTAAGTTGTATAGTCTCAAGGACAAAAAATTAATGTCAGACATCAAGCAAACATCCAGTTTTGAACATCTGTTCCTGCACAGTGTAGATGGTCTTATCATTAACATATTGAAAATTTGACAAGATGGTCTAATTTGGGGCTAGTTCCTGAAAAACCGGTCCAAAGCTTTCATTTTTTTTCAAAAAGGTGTTGATAAAAACCTCAAAAAGTTGCTTCATTTTTTTGGTGGGAATTTTGAAGCCATAAATCTAATAGACTTACCACCACATGACCAAGAGAAGAAAAGCAAATGATTTGCACCACTCACAAACATCCATTTGAATACAAAAAAAAGTGTTTTCAGGGAGTTTTGTTGTTTTAACCCCTAATACAAAGCTGGGCTAGTACACTTGAGAGGACAGAAAGCTACACATTACTCATTGGTGTCAATGTCCGTTGTTCTGCTGGCTGAATCAGCCATTGGAGTTGGTATTGCTCAATTGGCCCTTCCAATATCGGCAGTATCAAACACCCGTGTTGGTGTCACTGCAACGGTGGGCCAGTTACACTAACCGTAGTGTTAGTGTAGCGTAGTGTTAGCTTTTTAAGCTACACTACACAAAAGTTACCGTTAGTGGGAATTTTTGGCCCACTAACACTACAGGATTTTTGAAAAACCAAAAAAAAACTTTAGCGTAGTGTTAGCTACCTTTAAAAAAGCACAACTAACACTACCCAAAATCCTGTTAGTGAAATTTTAGTGGTGTTAGTGGGTGAACCCACTACACTACATGTTAGTGTAACTTTTTGCAAAGTTACACTAACAGTTAGTGTAGTGGTACCCTCAGTTACACTAACTGTCAGTGTAACTGGTGAAAAAGTTACACTAACTGTTAGCGTAACTGATTAAAATTTACATGACCACATGACTAGCATTAGTCTACCCTGAAGACAGTGCCTGATTGGGGGGCCTACATCCAGATCCCCTCAATTGATCATCATTTTTTTCAGTTGGTAATGTTGGTAATGGGGGCCACTCAATTTTAGCCCCCTGCCAAATTCTAGCACTTACTTGTAAGACCAGAATCCCCTGTCAGACTACCTTGAATTATGAGTTCAATTCCTCCTCAGATCATATTTACTGG